ATCTGGAAAGATTTTATGCTATGTTGTTAAGTGAAAAAAGCAAGCTGCAGGATAGTATATAATTTTTGCTAAAAGCAAAATAAACTCTGCATGTATATATAAACCCCATTGCCATGGAGTCAATTCCAACTCATAGCGACCCTGGTAGGACAGAGTAGAACTGTCCTATAGGGTTTCCAAGGAACAGCTGGTGGATTCAAACTGCCGACCTTTTGGTTAGCAGCCAAGCTCTTAACCGCTATGCCACCAGGGCTCCAGTGTATATATATGCGTGTGTGTATGCACATTATGTACAATATTTGCATATGCATAGAAAAATGTATGCTCTGGGGAAGGGACTGAGATTTTAGAGGAGTCAAAGCAGACTCGTGTTTTAATTTTTTACAATGAGAATATTCATCTGGTAGATGCATGCATGTGTGTGCGTGTGTGTGTCTGTTTAAGCCTAGCGGCTTGGAGAGTGAGAGTATGCGTAATTTTCTTCTGCTTTTCTGCATGCACTTTATTGCCTACGAAAAAATATTTTATATTTATATAATGATATATTTCTATATAAAATATAGAAATATGTAATATAAATATATATTTATATCTATATATAACAAACTTTAAAAAATTAATCTGGAAAGATAGATTACAAAAATTTATCAGTGGTTATCTCTGGGGAGTGGAGGAGAGGAGAGAGAACAGTTTAACTTTCTACTTTGTTAAACTTATTTTCTACTGGTTAAACTTATTTTCAGTACATGTTACTTTTGTGATTTTAAAGAAAAGATAGAAAAAAAGAAAGAAAGGCTTGACAAAGTAGTGTGTAATCCATTTAGCATTAATGCTGTAAATGGGGTTTGCAGTAGTAAGTTCAAGGCTTGCCATCTCATGCTTTGGGAAAAGTTTCAGTGACTTAGTGGACTTGGTTAAAACAGATTTCACTGGTGTAGTGTGGCTTTAAGTGGGGACGGATTTAAATGGGTCACTCTGCAGCTGGCATAGTAGAAACCCCAGGAAATGGAAACTATAACGTTAGAATCCCAAGACAAGAGCGCCCAGACTTGGCTGCTGGGGATGGATACTTAAGTCAGCTCCCCCATCCCCACCCCCCGGCCACACTCATAAATACATACAAAGGAAATACTTTCCCAAGAGAGCTGGCCTTCCTCCCTTGGCCTCTGACCCCCCAGAGCGGCCGTGTCCTCCAGCCCTGAGGCCTTTATCTCAGCAAAGCCTTGCACAGAGCGGACAGCACAAGCGGCCCAGTGGGGCTCGAACGTCACCTGGCCCGCCCTGGCGGCCCCATGGGAAGCGGCTCAGGGTGAGGGGCCTGTCGCCGCCTCTGCTGCCGCCGAGCCTTTTCCAGGCCGGTTCTGCTAAGCTCCGCAGCGCCTAGTGACTCACTGCCAGGTCACACGGAGCCAGGTGTGCTCGCTCTGACTGAACGCTTCTCACATGACATCAGCCGGCCGGCCGGCCAAGGAGCGTGCCGGCTCCCCGGCTTCCTTCCCTGCCCGCCGCAGCGCTGGTACCGAGCGGCTCTCGGCATTTCCAGGCAGCCTGGCCGCGCGCAGTCGCAGCCTCGCGGCGCCTCCCGCTGCGAGGCAGTCTCCCCTGGAACGCAGCAATCCTGTGGACCCCGGAAGAAATGAGAGCGAGAGTGGTGTCAGCCGCCAGGCCAGGCCCCCTACTGCTCTTCCAGGTGCGCTGCCGTGGCCCTGTCGCAGCGACCCGGCGCTATGCTCAGCTAACACTACCCCACCACCACCACTACCTTCTGTGTGACCTTGAGCAAGTCCCAGCCCCTCTCTGGGCCTCAGCTATTTCAACTGTAAAACCTCTAAGGGCCTGGGAGCTCAGACTTGGCCCCACGCCCTTGATTTTGTTGGAGAGGTATTCTCCTCAACCACAAACCGAAAGTTCTAATCCCACCCTGCCTCCCAATTGCTGTGTGACCTTGAGCCCATCATCCAACATCTCTGAATATCAAAGAATAATAAAAATAATCCTTTTTAGGAGGCAATCAAGTACCTGGCAGAGAGAAAAGACCTGACAATTTAAACCACAGCCTGATTCAAAGCTGTTTGAAATGTCAAGGGAATGTGGATAATTTACAAGCCACATGATTCCTACCTCAAGACAAAGGGCAGAGGAGTGAAGTGGGGAGAAGAGGATTTCCAGTCCTGCTCCCCACCTTTCCCATTCCAGCACTTACCAGCACACCACCCTACCGTCTAATTCAGGCTACCTCAGAGAATGGTGATGGGGGGCAAGGGTGGTGGGGAGATGCAAAAGCACCTGTCAGCCTGGCCCAAAACAGAACTTAAAAGCTCCATCAAGGCCCCATTCCAAGCCCTGGGGGAACCTGTCAATCACAGCATACAGCAGGCTATGTACTCCCACCCCCATAAACGTTTAAACTGCGTCTGGCCAGAGCCCCTCAGCTTTACCCAGCTTTATCCTCTCCACCTGGGACAAGGCCTGGGGCCTAGGGCAGCCCTCAAGACCCAGCTCACACTGATGCTCCAGTTTCCATCTGTGATGTCCACTTCAGGTGAGGGGGGTCCGGCTGCGGATAGACCTCAGATTTGAAGGAGGAGGAACAGCCCTGCTGCCCTGGAGATCTGTGACACACCAAGTCCAGGATCAAGGCTTCCTGAGTTCGAGCAACTCCCTGCTCCACCCCTAGCAGGGTGGATTCTCCCTTTCACACAAACCCCAGTTCTGCCCCACCCAGTCTACTTTTAGGTACCTGCCTCTGGAGGCCCTGGAATTTTCAGGCCCAACTTCTAAGACATATGTGCCCCTCAATAAGCAGCCTCAAGCAGGGCTGGTGAAGCGGGCTTCAGGAAACAGGCTGGCTGCCCATACTGCTCAAGAGTGAGGCTGTGGACCAGGCAGGGGTCAGAAAGGGTACAATCCACGAGAGGGCTTCTGAGGAGAGCCTGGGGACCAGGAGGAAGCCGGCAGGCACATGCCGGGGCACCTGAGCCAGGCTGGGAGAGAGTAAACAAACCAGAAACTCAGAGCTGCCAGGCACCAGGTCAACTGTTTAAAGTTCAAAGCTCCCAAGGGAAATCACCACCAGCATGTGGCCTTTCCCACTCCCACCCCACCCCCTCCGCCCTATGACCCTTCTCATTCTCCTAACCCCCCCAACACAACAGCTCCCCCTGCAAGCCACTGTCTTCCTGGAATTGAGGCCCCAACCCCAATTCTCCAATCCCAAATGGACAAGCACACCTCCACCGGAGGCTATATATAGCCAGTCATGTCCAGCAACCAGGAGGATATTTCCTGGAAAACCCTCATCACAAAAGGACAGAGGGGAAGCTGAGGAGGTGGCAGGCCATTGACAAGGAGCCAGTGAGGTCTGTCAGGAAGCCAGAGACCTCAGGAGAGCAACTTTCAGTATCTCCAAATAGAATGTAGCCCCTGAACCAAAAAAGGTGGGGAACATTAGGTAAGGCCAGGCACACTGCCATGACAACAGGACATCAAACTGCCCAAGAAAGGGGTTCCAGGCCTGGTAAGCCCATGGAAAGGCAGTGGAAGCTCTAGATTCAACGGCCTTGCTCTTAATCGCCCTGGATGACCGTCCCTCACTCTCAGCAGGGCTCCAATGCATACACCCTTCCCACAGTTCACTCTCCACTGGGGTATTTACAAGTTCTGCTGAGCCAGAAATACGACAGGGACTCCGAGAGGCAAAACCAACCCAAGCAAACCAGCCCAAGTCATTGGCAAGGTGAAGGGGGACCAATTCCATAATTTTCCAAGACCGCCTGAGGGCAGGAAGGCCGTAGCCAGGAGAGCCCCTCCCAGGAAGCATCCTTCAGCTCTCCCCACAAAAACACATACTATAAGGCCACTGCCAAACACATGCCCTGTTGGCCAAGTGACCAGGCAAAATGAGCACCAGCTTAAAAAAACAAACTGGCTGCCTTCTCCTTGGTCCTCCCGCTCATTCTGGTGACAGCCTTTCCAGCTAATCACCAGGGCACATGTGCCTTGCAACAGGGCAACACTCCCACCCCCCACAACAAAGCCCCAATGTGTGGTGTGTCCCTGCAGGCCTCATCTTGGCCAGGAACGTGACCCACTCCTCATCAGGCTTGGTACCAAACAGCGCCCCCACGAGGTGGGGGAGAGGCTAACCTCATCAACTCCCTCTTCTCATTGGCAAAACAACTGGCATGACAGGTTAGCAGGGCGGGGCGACAGGAGAGGCCTGGGGCAGGCTGTCCGACCTTCCCACACACACCCCACCCCTTTGCAGGGAAAGGTGAGATGAGCAGCCAGTCTTAGGGGACAGCCTGCACTTCCCAATCCCCAGAAGTCTGCCATTCACTCCTCCCCCCGCCACCCATCTTCTGCACCAAGGGGAGGGGCCCCGGGAAGCGGGTCTCCATTGTTTTACCAGCTGTCTAGCAGCTGCTCCTTTGAGAAGAGCCCGCTGTCGGCCTGGCAGTGAAAGGGTGAAGGCCGCTGGGAGGGATAAAGGACTCGGTGGAGGTGCTCGCCTTCCCCGCTGCCTTCCTCAGCGCCTCGGTCGGTCGGTCAGTCTGTCAAGGGGGCCTGGGCCTGGCACCGAACAACCCCCTACCCCCAGGCTGCAGCCCCCAGATCCGCAGCTCTGGGCACCTGGGCTCCTCCTCCAACTCCCAAATCCCCCCAAACTGAAGGCCACTCTGTCCTGCCTCCTCGCGTCCCCTGAGCTCTCCGAGCTGGCAAAAGGGGCCAGTGCTCCCGCTCCCCGCCTCTCCCGGCCGGCCCCCACCTTCGGGGGCCGAGCTCCGCGGCGCCGCCAGGGACAGGAGCCCGGAGTCCGGGCCGCTGCTTTCAGGGGAGAGGAAAGGAGGAGGAGCCGGCCGGGCCCCGCCGTCCGCGTGCCGCCCGCCCGGCC